TCAAGGATCTCATTTCAATAACCACGTAGTGGATGAACTTCTGGCAGCGTTAAACACTAAGCATCACTACTCCACGCTGTATCACCCACAAACAAATGGCCTCGTAGAACACTTCAACAAGACTCTGTGTAAATCAATAGCAAAATTAGTAATGAATGCTACAGATTGGGATCTATTGTTTCCATCAATACTCTTCGCTTACCGCACGACAAAACAAGCCACAACCCAAGAAACGCTATTTTATTTGGTATACAGAAGAAAAGCCCAATTACCACTGCATCCTAGTATGTCTGAGGATTTGTTGAGTAATACTATAATCCAAAGATTATATGAGATCGACCATGATCTACCCGAGGCCTGTGACAAAGCCTTACGTCAAATTAGTGGAGAGCAGCAAAAACAGAAAGAGCGTCACGATCGACAACTCAAAGCCACTATAGATTTTGAGATTGGTGAAAAAGTCCTCGTGCTTGATGCCAGGAAATTGGGAACACGTAGCCATAAGCTAACACCCAAATGGAAGGGCCCGTATTACATTCATTCTAAACTTCCAAATGGCGCATACAAGTTAAGAGAAGTAAGCGGGAATGTATTAGCAGTACCGCTAAATAAGACATTATTAAAGCCATACTATGAGCGAAAAAATATAAATATGGCCCAAGGAGCTTACCTTTTTTCCCAGTCAACAACACCATTAACAACATCATCAACAACATGGGAAACATTCCACCAATCCAACGTATCCAACTCGACCAACACTGCCTTGAACCAATCGATGTAAATCCTGTACCTCCTCCATATAGCGACGAACAAGACACTATTGTAAAAATCACCATCGCTTACCACTGCCTTCTTCGTGCCCTCAGAAGAAGGGAAAGAATCGCAAGCCTGGCCTACGCGTATTACCTAGGGTCACTCCTAGATATTCTTCCTAGAAGTCAGCACCGCCAAGTACGAAGTTTTATCTCCCACCACTACTACGACACATCCATCCGATGCTATTATATTTTCGAACGGTACGGTGTCGAACAAGTGTACCGCACCACCTTCACCACCCTCGGCAGAATCAGATATCTCAGTCGAGATGATTTTGTTTCTCTCCTCACCTAAGAAATACTCGTGGAACTCGTCCCTTAGAAGGGGAGAATTGTGAGGGGCTCCGGTCGTCTGACCCTACAAGTTTTTATTTTTTTCATTATTATCTATATTTTATTATTAGTATTATCAAATGTATATACTTAGCTTAGTTATCCGGGGGCTCCTTCTCCTGGATCAAATCGATAAGTCGGATAAATTCGCTTTAGCGAATTTATCCGCTTAATCCACCTTAATCACCTTAGTCGATATAGTGAATTTATTCGCCTTAGCGAATAAATTCAAGAGAAAGTTGTATATTTTAAACACTGTAAAAATATATAAAAGCAGAGCCGCTCTTGCTCTGAAATAAAGGGAGAACTCAGTTGAGTAATACTTCGAAAACAATTATAGTAGAAGTACTCCAGTAGTTTTTACTTATCTTTTCCCGTTATTCCTGATAAATCACTCAAGTGGAGTTTGACCTTTGAAATTCGAGTAAAAGCGTCAACTCTAAGTTTTTCCTGAATCCTAAAGTTAATAATAAATTCGTATCTCTACTTAATCTTGAGTTTTCGTAAGAAAGAGGAAGAGAAAGTATTAATTAGTAGTCAAAAAACCCTTTTATAATAAAATACAATTGATCAAGCTTTGATCAAACGTCATTGTTACCTCTAAAGCAGTTAACAATTGATTTCGTAAATCAATCTTAATCCCGTGACCCACGTGACGATCGTTAAGTATCTCAACGATCGAAGTAGAATACTAAAGCCCAGCACACTAAAGTTCAGGTCGAAGCACCACTTTTGGCTCCCCTTTGAAGCCTAGAAAACACCAGTAAAGGTATAAGTCAAGACTTGACTTATCTTGACCCCCAAATACGCTGCAGCAAAACTCAACAAGACTTTGAGACTTGGACCAAGTCTTTCCGCGCCTCTTTCTGCCTGCCAAATCGAAGTCTTAGGGTCTTCGAACAGAATATTAGAAGTTGTAGTGTGTAGATTTAGCTAGTTTTAGCTTAAAACAATTAAGTCACCCCTTTTCAACGTACAGAAGGGTTTACTGTATGTACTATACCCATTTTTAAAGCTTTTTATTTTTTGATATCATAAATCTTTTTTAATAGACTATCATAAATCTTTTTTATTAGACTATAATACAAGAACTGGTGTATCTCAATGGGTAAATATTGAAATTCACTTTCTTTTTTTTATTAAATATTTAGGCCTATATTAACAAAATATATTTATACTAGAATCCACCTTATCCAACACAACCATACCCTCAAAATTATAATCGACCCACTAATTTGCCACAGCAGCAAAATTATAATCGGCCCTCTAATTTGCCACAGCAGCAAAATCTTCAACAACAACAATAGCAACAGTACATGAGGCAAATGTATTTCAATCTTAGTATGGATGCAATTAGAGGTGCAAAAATTGTGTGATAGGCTTTAAGCATACTTTATAGAGGGAAACGACTATTACTGTATTTATAATGAATATGTCATTCATTCAGATATTCTGTTTATTGTATTCATTAGTATTTGCAATACTGTAATTGCTATTTTTTTTTTTTTTTGAATTAATAGTTTTAATAATTTTTACATCAATGTAATTGTTTTACATACTGTATCATCTTATAACCTTCATTAAATATCTTAAATGATCATGTTATTAAAGAAATGATAATTATTATTCTGGCTACTAATTTGAGATTGATCCGTCTTTAAAAAAAACTTGATTAAAACAACTAGACAGTATCAAAACAAGGAGCATGTAATTTTTGGTCTTCAATTTTTTATGGCCCAGTCTTGTTCGGAATATAGTCCTGACCAAAAAAAAAAAAGATAAAAGAAAAAAAAAATAACAATAATTCGTAAAAAAGACTTTTACTTTCATTTTTCAATATTTTACAAAATTTGCGATAAAAATAATTCTCATTAATAAGTTCCAATTTTTGATTACCGTATTTGTGCGTAATAACGTGCATTAGTAATTTTGAAATTTGCCTTAAATTAAACTTAATTTGGGCCATGGCTCAAATAACTCGGCCCAATATTACGCGCAAATACTGTAAGTGAGCATTAAAAATTCTAAATTCTGGAATAAACCAGGGTTAAATCGCCACCTAGAAAAATTCAGATCATGTAACTTACATTATTCACATATTTCAAAAATTAATTATACTTTCGTATTTACTATTTTCATGAAAATTTTATTAATAGGCATCGTATAACTGATATAATTGACACAACTCACTCTCATTTAGTGAACTCTCGTTATAGTGAAGATTCGATATAGTGAATAATTTTTGGATTCCGAAATTATTAAACTCTAACTCGATATAGTGAAGTACTTATAGTATTCTCTCGATGTAAGCTATAGTGAAGATTTTTTTTCTCAGCCCAGGAACTTCACTATATCAAGAGTAGAAATGTGCATCTCGCGCGAAATGCTGATATCATTCTATTGATTCTTGCGTGAGATGATAAAAATAATTTACTATGATATTAGCATTTCGTGCGAGATGCACAACTCTAAACAAGAATAAATTGCATATCGTGACTATTATATTACTTGATCTGAATTTTTTTTAGGTGGTGATTTAACCCAGTTTTCTGAAATAAAAATGACCTAATATAGTCGTTTAACTCAGTTAATTAATTGTCCAGAGCATAGTGATGGGCTCTACCGCATAATTTTTTAGCCGATCTGATTAAGTTATTGATTTCAGCATAATCAGTATATAATAAAAATTATATTTTTGAATTAGGTCCAATTTTTAATATTGATATTGATATACATAATTCCCATATTTAATTGATATTAAACATATCAATATCATATTTATATATTTTAATTTTTACAATAAAATTTTTGTAATCAATAGAATTTATAGAACTTTCCTGAATACAAGATGATAAAAGACCATTAATTCACAATGCACCTTCTATGGTGAATCGTCTTCCTTGAACAAAAAATATATTTTTTTGAGCATGCATTCCTGAAAAACTCTAGCCATAGCATTCTTCTGTCATAAGCAGTTTCATCTAAAAAAAATAATAACTCACTCACTTAATGTATAATAAGAGATTCATAAAATGAACCTGTTTCTATTAACTTCATTAATTTTTTTGAGTTTTAAAATCTATAGAATAAAATTGTTATAAATTTATAAATAAAAATCATGCATGGTATGCAAAACATGCAATTAACTCTGGCCATTATTAAGAAATTGACTTATAATTTTGGTCAAAATATGCATGCATGTATGCAAAAAAATGCATGTGTATGTGCATGCTAAAGTATTTTTCCTATCTTTAATGCTGGTCATTTCACTGACAATAATTTCACCAAAAGTTCACTTAGCTGACATTACATAAGGTCAGGGCTAGCATTTTGTTAGGTGCTAGTATTTATTTTTAGTATATTGTTATTTGGTGTGATGTCAGCTAAGTGAGTTGTCAGCAAAATGATTGTTGGTGAAGTAAGGCAGATCCAATAAAAATATGTATAAATATACAAAATATTACCTTTTTGTGTGTATATCCAAGTTGGTATATAGCCAAACCAAAGTTCCATCACAGATTGTAATTAATACAAATATCAGTCATGTTTTTTATTCACAAAGTTTTAAGATATTTTATATTATTCATATTTAAAGAAAGTGGTTTTCTTGAAGGCAACAGAAGTTTTTCAATACAGCAATAACTTTGAAAATGCACAAGTACCCGACTTATAAAAGACCTAACACCTGAGTGTTTTGCAATTTTTCAAATTGATAGGCCTTTTAAATTTTTTTCAATAATTTACCAGCGAATATGCTTTGAAGGTATCATATTTTTTTTGAATTCAGCAAGAGATATGCATAATCTTACCGTATATTAGTCACCTGACTTTAAATTACGTACATTATTTTGTTACCATCGGATGAAACATTTAAGCGGGATCGGGTTATCACATAATAAATCAACTTTAATTATTCGTGGGAGTAATTTATTATGTAACAATAAATCAGAAATACGAGATAACAAAAATAAAATAAAAAATACAATAAAAGAATATAACTAAATTAATAAAAATACATAAATACAACACATGTGAGAACCCGATTTTTATTATAAGCACTATAACTAAGCATCGTACGCTCTGAGATACATTGTCTGAGACGCATCATCTGAAGAAACTTCACTAAGGCGAAAAGTCAGGCTTTTAATACCTTTCAATTTTACTAAGAGCTACTGCTCTATATTTAATCTCAACATTATCTTCCCAGCAATCGGCCTCGGGTTGTGAAAAACCCGAATTAAGATAGCACCAAATATTGCTCACAAATATTGCTCACAAATATTTCTCACAATGGTTGTTCCAAATATTAAGCACAATCACGCCCACACATCATCCGATGGCTTCTATCTAATATTTATCATTATGATGGGAGTAATAAACCACCGGAATTGGTCTATGTCTCTATGCCTTCAGCCACCACCCAGGAGCCTCACAATATTCTTGTGGCTCCGGTCATTCGGCTTTTGGTATTATCAAGTCACATTACAGCTATTATCATAATTCCTGGGACACCTGTAAAATTTGCTGAATGATTTTTCGGCCGATCCGGTTAAGTTATATATTTCGGGAATAATAAGATTCATTCAGTAACAAATATATCAAATAGGATCAGGTGACTAAAATATATTACAATAAGACTAAATATTACTTATTGCACTTGTAAATCGTAAAATTTCAATCTTATTCTTGATCATTTTTGCCTAAATGAAGCCTTAATTCATTTCTAATTATTCTTCGACGAAAATTCGGTTTTAAAAAATTATAAAAATTTTCTTTGGCAAGATCTAATTATTTTTTGATGAAAATTTGTTTTTAAAAATTGTTTAAAATTCATCCCTATTCTTTGGCAAGATCCGTTTCCATTTTTATTCAAACGAAAGAAACCTTTATTTATTTCTAATTATTTTTCATTTCTTGTTGAAAATGAAAAATTCATTTTTAAAAAATTAAACTAAATTTCGATCCCTATTCTTTGGCAAGATACATTTTCTTTAAAACGA